TGTATTACCACACGAACTTTGATTCACAATTCCATTCTCCATGATAAAATGTCCTAATTCATTGTTAAAGAACTCTTTCCCATTATCACTTTTGAAAATTTTGATTTGAGTCTGAAATTGTGCTTGAACCATTGTGTAAAAATTTTTGAAAACAGTTACAACTTCGGATTTCTCTTTTAAAAGAAAGACCCAAGTGACTCTAGTATGATCATCAATGAAAGTGATAATCCAACGTTTTTCAGAAAGAGTTGGCAGTCTTGAAGGACCCCAAACATCACTATGAATTAGAGTAAATGGTTCTGATTTTTTGTATGGCTGAGAGGGAAAAATTGCACGCTGGTGTTTTGCTAATTCACAAAATTCACTCTGAAAATCTGAAATCTTTTTATTCATAAATAACTTGGGAAACAAATGCTTCAAATACTGAAAGTTAGGATGTCCCAATCGATAATGCCATAACAATATGTCACTATCATTAGAAATAGAAATAGAATTTAAACATGCCTGCTGGTCTTGCATTCCAAAGGATCCTTTATGGAGTAGGTAGAGGCCACCAACCTGTTTAGCACCCCCAATCATCTTCCCCAAGGTTAAGTCCTGAAATTTACAATTAGAAGACGAGAAAAGAACTTGGAAATTATGATCTCGGGTAAGTTTACTAACAGAAATAAGATTGTAGGAAAGATTAGGAACATGTAAAATTTCTTTAAGAGTTAGAGAAGGAAAGATAGGGACAGTTCCTTTCCCTACAATAGAAGCATAGGAACCATCAACCATTTTTACTTTTTGATTCCCTACATAAGGTGCATAAGAAGAGAAAAAATGGGATTTTCCAGTCATATGATTGGTGGTGCCTGAATCTAGGATCCAGTATTCATTTGAACTGGTACGAACAAGAAGAAGGGTGCGATATTTACTTGATTTAGAAAGAGAGCCGGATGGATTGAGATTGAAGCAACTTGTATAAGTGCTCCATTTGTTCCTTGGTGAAGGGAAGAGATTCCGAGGATGATTGCTGCCCTGGATTAGCATTGCTTACTTGAAATGCATGAACTTATCCCCCTGACTTGTTATCAAAGCCTTGTCTCTTCTTCAAGTTTGCAGGTTTGTTGTTCAACTTTCAGCAATTTTCCCGAGTGTGCCATGGCTTTTTGCAATGATCACACCAAACCTTTTGTTTCCCTCCCCTTTCATCACCTTCCACATCTGCACTTCTTGCCACTAGGCTGACCCTTCAACTTCAGCCTTTGTGTCATTAATTTCTCTCAGCATCACTTTGCACCGTGCTTCTTCTCGGCGCACTTCTGAGAAAACTTCTCTGATAGAGGGTAGGGGTTTTCTCCCTAGGATACATCCTCAAACTTCATCGAGATCTTTGTTTAAACCAGCCAGGAAAACAAATACCCGACTTGTTTCTACCTTCTTTGCATACCAATCACTATCCCTAGGACTTTCCCACTCTTCTGCTTCAAACAAGTCCAGCTCTTGCCAAGTAGACATCATCTCATTGTAATATAATGTCACTTCACGTTCACCTTGCTGCATCTTCCAAATTCGAGCATTTAACTCGAACAATTGTGAATGATTATCCAGATCTGAGTAGGTGTCTTTAACTGCCTCCCAGACATCTTGGGTAGTCGGCAAAAATAGGAAAGGTTTTCCAATCGCAGGATCCATAGAATTGATCAACCAGGTGACCATTGAATTTTCTAATCGCCATTGCCTATATTTTGGATCATTTGTGGCAGGGGGCTTTATTTCCCCATTCAAAAAACCCAAGTTTCCCTTTGCCATCTACCAACAGACTTACAGACTGAGACCACTCTAGATAATTTTTCCCATTCAACTTTTGATTAGTAGTTTGAAGAGAATTTTCAGAAACAGAAGGGTGAGAGCTTTGCTCTAAAGATGGTTCACTATTGTTAGAACCTACGGAGCCAACCATGGCAGCCTTAAAATTCATGATTGAGCCTGAAGCTCTGACACCATCTAGAAAAATATAGACTCCAGGAAATAATACTTCTGCATTACAGTATATTCAGAATACACAGAGTCTACTACATTTATAGGAAAATGATAGGAGACAAATCCCTTCAATAAAGGATTAGTGATCCTAAATCCCTAACAATCAGGAATAGGATTAGATTTCTCCTATGATGCAGCTTTCCTTATTTATTTTAATCTTATCTACTCTTGACTTCCTTGATTTACTGACAGTAGTAATTTCGTCGACAACGGAAGTTAGTTTACTTTTTACTACTAGGACTGTTGTTTGGAACAATCGGAAGTGACCTTACAGTATTTATGTGCCTGATTGAATACAGTTTCATACCACATAGAGAGCTAAAAGAATCAATACATATGATTATAGAGTAGAGTGGCGGACGACCCTAGGCTGCCATCATTTTGTCAAGTCACTTACTCACTTGCCAATCTGCTGTTTTTACTTCTGTTTTGTGTTTTGGTACTGGATCTCATTAATTGTTTGTCGTCTCTGTGGGATCGACCCTTCCTATCACTTGCTACAAGTTTTAAGTAAGTTTATTTTGGTGGCCTCGACACCCATCAACCATACAAGGACTTCTTCAACAAACATGCATAGCCCTTCTAATTATTATCAAGAAATTCCGCCGGCTGCGACATATAAATCTGCTCTACTAGATTTCCATGTAAGAATGTAGTTTTGACATCCAATTGCTCGGACTCCATGTCTAACTTGCTTACCATGGCTAGCAGAATCCGAATGGTTTTATGCTTCACTACATGTGAGAATACCTTATGGTAGTCTATTCCTTCTTTTTGTGAAAAACTTTTCGCCAAAAGTCTTGCCTTAAACCTAGCTAGTTTAACTCTAGAATGCCTTCCTTCTTCTTATACACCCATTTGCATCCTACTTGTTTGGCACCTTTGGGTAGAGGTACTAATTCCCCGATTTGATTTTTAGCAAGACATTGCATCTCTTCATTCATTGCAACCAACCATTGTGATGCTTCACTACTCTCAACTGCTTCCTTATATGATCTCGGTTCATCGGAATCAATATTTTCTCCTACAACTAAAGCATATGCAACAGAGTTAGTATCACAACCACTAACTAAATCAACATACCCTGCAAGCTTTCTGATTTCTATTTTTCCTTTCCTTGTTGCTATACTATCAACTACTTCTTCACTTTCCTTGAGCTGCTCTTCAGAGTTTGTTGTATCATTTTTGAGACTTCAACCTCGAACTCCACCTTCTGGTTAGCACTCTGATCATTATTCTTTGCATGCAGTGATGGAACTAGACTTTGAATTCCGAGGGGTCAAACTTGAGAATCGTAATATTTTTTTCACCGATCACCAAAATATGATGAAATATGAATTTTTCTTATTAGAAATTTTGAAATTTAATTTTTTTCATGGCAACATTTTCTTACTGGAAATTGTTGAATAGTTTGTGTTCATCATACTCAAAAGCATGAGTGTTTTAGCCAAAATAAAATACAAAAAAAAGAAGGAAAAAGCAAAAAGTTTTTTTAAAAAAAATATTAAAGAGCACAAAGACTTAGAGGAAGTTAAATTTATGCCCAATTTATTGTACTTTTTAGGCTATTGGATCAAAACGACTAAGAGGCAATCTTTGAAAGAGCCGAAAAAAGCAAAAGACCCAACATTAAAACCTAAACAATACAACTATTAGTCATATTCTTTGTTCTTCTCTCCAGCGGCCACCATCCTGGAGGGTCAAAGCAGGGGGTATTGCAGCCATTGGATACCCCTTGAATGGGAAAATTCGGCCAGCCGGGGGGTCGATCGACTCCCTAACCCCCCGTAGTTCTGTCCAGGCCTGCATGACTACCAAGTTCTTTTTTCTGGCCGCACAAATCAGTCTTATCAAATTTGACATTCCTACTAATGATAAACTTGGGAGTTATATCCCGTTCAGTACACCAGAATCTGTACCCGTTAACTCCGGTCGCATATCTTAGGAATATGCATTTCATTGCCCTTGACTCAAGTTTACCATCATTCACATGAGCATAAGCATGACACCAAAATCTACGCAATCCAGAATAATCAGGGAGTTCCCCGAACCATATCTCATGAGGAGTCTTCAAATCAATTGCACTTGATGGAGATCCATTCACCAAATAACAACTGCTTCAGCCCAGAACTGTTTCGACAAGCCATCGTTCAGCCGCATACATCGAGCACGCAGCAAAAGTGTTTGATTCATCTGTTTTGCAATGCCGTTTTATTGCGGTGTACTACATACAGTGTGGTGCATCAGGATACCTTTTTTCTTACAGAACTAATCAAAAGTTCTGAGTGTTTTGTTTCCCAGTATAGTTTTCAACCATAGTCTTCCACTCCTTGAACTTTCCAAACACCTCATCCTTAGATTTCAAAAAATACTAAACTTTTATCGAGTAGTCATCAATGAACGTGACAAATTATTTGCATTTACCCTGATACCCAACCGGAGAAGGACCCCATAAATTCGAATAAACATACTCAATATCTTTATTAGCGTGCAAAGAGAGATTTAAATATTTAGTTGTGTTCGTGTGCACAATATCGGTCCAATTATTGCACGACATAATTACTTTTACTAGCGTGTAGGCATATCAATTTTATATGTCATACATACATATATAATTATGTATTTGAATATGTAAGTAATACCAATCAAACCTTTAAAATGCTATTTTTCATTATCTTTAGAAAAATAAGTTACGTCTGTGCATCATACGTGCGTATAGTGAATTAAAGCAAAAAAATTCGATTTACCCTTAAAACAAATCTTTTATTTTTCAATAAATCCCACGTAATAAAATATGAACCACTGAATATGATTTAATAAATATGAACCATTGAATTTCAAATCAATCCCTACATTGTTTCTAAATTACATACTTCTCCTCATCCCCACCACTAAAACTATCTCACACAGTTTTACAATCTCTTCAGTAACTCACACTCTCCACTCTCATTCATATTCCCCCAACCCCTCTTTCAATGGAGAACAACCCACAGCAGCAGCAAGCGGCGGCGGCCGCGGCGGCGCCACCAGCACCCTTCCCCGGACAGGCACCGTACCAGCACCTCCTCCAGCAACAGCAGCAGCAGCTCCAGATGTTCTGGAATTACCAGAGGCAGGAGATCGAACAGGTGAATGACTTCAAGAACCACCAGCTCCCATTGGCTCGAATCAAGAAAATCATGAAGGCCGATGAGGACGTGCGTATGATCTCCGCCGAGGCCCCCATTCTGTTCGCCAAGGCTTGTGAGCTGTTCATTCTGGAGCTCACAATTCGGTCCTGGCTTCACGCCGAGGAGAATAAGCGGCGGACCCTCCAGAAGAATGACATCGCTGCCGCCATTACACGCACGGACATTTTCGATTTCCTGGTTGATATTGTCCCGAGGGATGAGATCAAGGAGGAGGCTGCCGGATTGGGAATGAATGCCGGAATTGGTATGCCCCAAGGAGCGCTTCCGTTGGGACCTGCGGCTAGTGGGGTACCCTATTACTATCCTCCCTTGGGCCATCCCACTGGTCCTCCTCCTGGGGTTATGATGGGTAGGCCTGCTGTTGATCCCGCTGTTTATCAGCCTCCTCCGCCCTCTCAGGCGTGGCAGTCTGTGTGGCAGACCGCCGCTGCGGAAGATGGAGCTTATGGTGGTGCTGGAGGTGCAGGTACTACCAGTGGTGGCCAGGGTAACCTTGATGGGCAGGGGTAATAATTTTGTCTAAACTTTTAATCTCAATTCTGGTAAAAATGTGGGTGAAATTTCAAGCGTTTTATTTGCTGTAGATCGTTTTTTGGTAATTGTAACTTAGCTTCCTTTTCTGTTGCTTTTTTGTTTTTTGTTTTTTTGGGCAAAGGTTTTATAACATTGTTTGTTTGTGATGCATTGATGTCTTCTGAGAGATTGTCTTCTGATTGGTTTATTTATCTACTACTTCAAAGAAGGGTTTCTGGTCTTCTGCCTTGTGGCTTTTAGAGGTTCCATGGGTCGGAGAGTACCAAGTCCTATGGATAGTTGGGGTTTTATTGTCTTTCTTGTATAATTCTGGGTATTAAGTAGAATTTTCAAATGTTTCCCAAACTGTGAATTACCATGTGTCTTTCGTTTGGTGGGATTGGCAGTGCATCATACTAAATGAAAACATTAAAATCAACTTCTCGTATTCTTATGTACTTTGCATAATTTCTAGTTGATAGAGAAAGTTTGTTACTGTCATGGCGATATTGCTCTTTTGCTTTTGTCAGAGGTAGAGTAATAAGAGTCAGAAGAGGTTGTCTTCTCACGTGTGTGAATTTTTTTTCGAGAATTTTTCTCATTTTCTATCATATTCTAATTGCTTGTGACGAGCTTCAGTCCTTGTAATTCAATAAAGTACTGATGGAAAAGGGAGTTTTTATATGTCACATGTTTTCTTCATCATGTTTATAAAGAACAACTATTGCCATGCTTTTCTCTCTCCCTTCTCTGAGCTTGTGGCTTATTTGCATTTGTTAGTGTAGGTACAGCAATAAAAAGGACTTGATCTGTGCACTTCACTGCCTTGTTAATTTCTGACCTTTTCACATTTAATATGGAGAGAAGCTTGTTAGGGTCTTCATTTGTTTATCCTTCAGTGGTTTGTTTGTTAAGTAGTATAGCTGGAATGTATTCTTTGTTTACCTACATTATGTAATAGCATGTCTGGCTTATATGAATATGTTTGAAAATGTTTGTACCGCCGATGCAGCTGTGAAATAGTTGAATATTGTTATCAAAGTGGCTTTCTGCAAATTTTTACATTTGTGAAATCACTATGTGTATCTGCTGTTCAGAGAACGGTAAAGCATTGTAGAAATTGGTAAACTTGAATTTCTATTTCTGGGGCGTTGTCTGAACTTTTTTGCATAATGTTGATATTGCGACGAGGATGCTTAAGATATACTTTTAGTGTTCTGGACATCTTGTTTCTCCCCTTCTCCAAATGTAAAAGTTATATTGTCGTCCACAGAATTCTAGGTGGTAGTGTAACAAGTGTTGGTATTGGTTGTGCCGTAGGGGTTCTTAATTCTGTCAGTTGCGTGCATTCACATGGCCACCTTTTTCTCTATGCTGTTGAGCTTATTTTATTTTTCTTTTTCCATAAAAATTAGCGGGATAGTGTTTTCCTCTTTCACGGCTGCTGATAATTTGCTGGACAGTTATCTGAAACTACCTACATTGGGATTGTTGACAGCTGTCCTACGTTGCATTTCCATTTGTTTCTTTCTAGGGTAAAATTGCTGTTAAGTTCAAAGTTTTAAAGATGGAATTACGGCTCTAGGTCGTAGAATAAAAAATAAATAAAAATAAAAATGAAAATAAAGAACTGTCCCACAGTTGGAATGATTCATGTGCATGCCTAAATTGGAAGTTGATAAAAAGTCTGCAGAGGGTTCCTTCTTGAGTAGAATGAATTGTATTGGTCAGGCCAGTGCATTGAAACTCTCACTTGTGCAGATAAGGATCAAACTATGATTGCCTAATCTACACAGCCTTACCATATATTTCTCTGATGGCCCTTTCCGCAACTTGAACCTGTGAAAACTAAGAACCATGGCAATGGCTTTTACTGCTCCGCGAAGGCTTTTCTTCAAATGGATTTTTTTTTTTTAAATGTATTTGCCTAAATTAGTATATCAATACAAGTTTGGCTCATATCGATAAGTATGTTATAGCAAGTCTGCCTCGTATCAACATATTTGAAAATGTTGCTTGCATCGACAGAACTGATTATTGATGAATTTCAAATGCATATGCTTGGTCTTCAAGAGTTTGTTTAAGTGATTTGCAAAGATGGATTTGGGTTGAGGTAAACCATTTGTGTAAGAAGGCACTGTAAGAAATATTGGATTGGTTTCGAAAGTATGTTACTGCAGTTCAGAAACTATTAGTTATTCAGTATGAGGAATTGCTTAACTGATTGATTTATAGGTCTGTAAGTTTGATACACTCTTATGTTTGGCCTTTTGTTTGGTAGAGTAAAAGAGTGATAGGCACTAGTTACTGCACGTTCAAAGAGATGTGCAAATGGTGGTTTGTGTTTTCCTGCATATTTGGCATGAATGCCTCTTTCTTGCATGGGCATGAATGAGAGAGCTTAACAATACTATATGTGCCTACCTTTCAGATTCAAACATTGTAATTTGACATCAGAATATTGGATTTTAGGAGTCTACCAACATGGTTTGTGCTGCTAATGTGGAGTTTCATGTATGATGTCAAATTTCAACATTGTTGGTGCTTTGTAATGAGCATAGTAGCTAAAAGTACTAATTTTATCTTTGTGACTTGTCGATATTGTTATGTCTTCAAAATATCGCTTCTTGAAGATTGAGGAAATTGCTCAATAAGGATGTCTTTTAAATTCGTTTCCAGGCATTAAACATTATGTTTATGGGCCTTACATTTAATACAACTTAAAACTCCTTTTTCAGGTGAATTGTAGATTTGCAAGTGTAGCAGCCTGAGATAAAAGCACAAGGCAACGTCGAAGATTAATGAGTCTGGTGTATTTATTGCTTGCCAAAGAATCTGTGCAAGTTGTAATTGAATTGTTTTAACTTTTTTTACCTTGATTGAACTGTTCTAAGCCTCCTTTAACCGGATCGAGGATGTATAGTTATATTCGATGTCCATTTATGTCAGTCATAAGGCTTCTTAAGTCTTTGAAACTGAAATTCCGTTACCAGATTCTCGTACCTTTTTGGATTTCTGTGTAGTGATTGATCATCCAAGTGTAGGCAAATGCTTTGTAATTACAAAAAAAATAAATACATGCATCTTCTGCAAACATGTACAGATCTTCCAATCTCTGGGAAATATCTTCCTAGCTACCAGTCCAAAACATAGAATGCACAGAAAAGCCGAGATTAAGAAACTATCTATAATCTATCTTTGCACTATCTTCCAGACATTAGGTTTACTAGTCCTTGGTTTCCATAGAATGAGCCAACATCCCAGTCCTCGGTGGTGGAGGACAGAGTCATGAGTGCGACCACAATGGATCTCATACTTGGCCTAAGCTGAGGGTTCTCATGTGTGCAAGCTCTTGCTAGCAGAGCCAACTGTAACCAATCAAAGCACACAAGAAACCAGTTCTAAGTTAGTGAGACTGCAATCATTCTACTGGTTCTATGTGAACAGAGAGATATTTACCTTTCGGACTGATTCAATGGGGTAATTATCTCCAATTCTTGGGTCAACTACTTTCCGGAGAGCATCATCTGGATCTGACTGACTAAGAACTTCTTCAAACTGTCAACAGAGGCAATCAGAAATTGTAAATTGGTTTGACTGCAAACGAATCTTTTAGGTTGATTGAACAGTATTGAACTTTTCTTAATTACATCCGAATTATGTTAAAAGAAGAAATCTTACCAAACCAACAAGGCCTTTAGATTCAGCAGCAGATCCTCCCTTGACTATAGCTTCCTTGGCAGAAATCAGTTCATAAAGCACCACACCAAAAGCATAGACATCAACTTTAGGAGAAACATCGCCATATTGAGCATACCTACAAAACCAGAACCATAAATACGAAAATCTAACTGCATGAGATTTAATATAAACCATAAAAGCTCCATTCATAGTGAGGAATCTATGATTCTGTTGTTTTATAAGCGACAGTCGAGTGAATCCAACTAATAATACTTTGAACAATTTGAGCCCCAGAAAGAAACAAGAATTCTCCTAAGCCCTAATGGTGTTGTAGCTGCAGACGCACGGAAATTTCGCAAATGTAAACTCACTCTGGTGGCATGTAACCAAATGTACCCACGAGACGGGTGGGCAAAGATGAGCTTCCAACCTCAGTCAATTTGGTTAAACCAAAGTCTGCTACCTGTGGATTAATCAATTTATATCAATAGCTTGAAAGGAAACAAGTTTAATAACAAGGTTGGGGTTTAGTAGAACTACCTTTGCATGGAAATTTTTGTCAATCAAAATATTCGCTGATTTAATATCACGATGGATGTAGACAGGAACTGTATGCTCATGTATGTATTCAAGACCTCTTGCAGAATCCAATGCAATCTGCACCCTAGTTGACCAAGATAGTGGATCCCTCCCTGGAACACAAAGAGTGAGATATTCATGATGATTAGTTGCATTTAATTCTCAATATGAACATTATACTAAGTATACATAATTTCCCACATATCAATATCCGCTTCTAAGCATATTAGCCTACCAGGCTTCTTTCACAAGTAAGTTTTTAGTTATTAAATGTTTAGAAAACTGAAACTACCCTAATAGTTGGGACCCCTACAGGACAAATACAAATTAACTGGTGATAAGTACTAATGAAATGGCCAACAAAATCACACCCAACTTCATCATTGTCAGACATACACAACCCAGTCTAATGAATAACTGCATCCAAACCATCAAACCAGATATCTTAAATACATTGAAGCTCTATCTTCATTATTTAATGAAGTTTTTTTCTTTCAGGTTTTTCTGTGTTATTCTACATGGCACATTGTTGGTCGGCTGATGAAATGATGAAAGAAAACACTTTCTCTGAATTCTGAATATGATCAGAATTTTGACATGAGAAATTTATGTGTTGTGGAGTATCTGGATTCTGGAGATGGTCATTTTAACAAAAGCGGAGCCCCATTATGACACTCCCTTGGCTGTTTGAAAAGTTCACGATTCCATGAATCTTGTACACAAATACTTTGTATTAACATTTGCGTAGTATTATTAGCAATGACAATAACTTCCGCCAGACTTCGAAATATGGCCTAAAATTCATAATAAGTATTTACCTGAACCTGAACCCCGGAGATGCTGCGCCAAATTTCCATTTTCGATATATTCATAAACAAGGAAAAGTGAACCCTCAACACAGTATCCAATTAAACGCACCTGTATCAATACAACAACAAAAAAAATTATCATAAGCCAAATGCAACAATAAAATCACTATTGTTCCAAGAAAAGAAAGGTCGTTCCCTTTTTTTTTTTTACAGGTAAAAACAAAATTATATATATAAAAAAAAAAAAGCAGAAGAAAAAGACACGATCCACATGTGATCATACAAATGTGCCAGTATTGTAACCATACCTGCACATTGCAGTTAGAAAACAATAATGCAAACAAGAACTACTCATCTCAAATGAGTTTCAGGAATGGACAGTAAAGGTAGTACATACACTATGAGACGAACAGCCACAAATTAAATTTTAAATCGTCGCTGTCAAATGCTAATTAGTCAGAGTACAATTATTGACGGTCCTGACAAAGAACAATGAACCTTCATGCAGAGGTCATCTCACAGACAATACCAGTTGGGAAGCTCCCAAATGCTTCTCGCTCATTACATAAAAAGCAAAACAAATTAAATAAATAGAGTATCAGATGGCACTTGGGAGTGAATACTTATTCTTCAGTTAAGAAAAATTGTTTGCAGTCAAGATTCAAGTTGACCATATTCCATCAACAGTGATTAATGCAATGGAAATCAATACTATATGAATTGTAGGACTTGGTAAGTTGGGAGACTGTTACAATTACTGAAGCTAGTTCTATCAACCAAAAAACAGCAATGTCCTGTATAGACTTGTTTATCAAACATAGGCCAGCAAGTACAGCATAGTCCCAGCAACAAAACGGCCACCATTAGGACTAACTTTCTACTGAATAGCAGCCTTATTAGTTATTTGTCCCTTCTAAATTTCTTTCTCTATGTTCAAGCCTAGTGTTTTAGTTAAAAACTCTTGCTAAACAAAATATAGTCTAGGTCAAAATAGATCCATCCTAAATAAATCAGGATCAATTATTGTCCTAAACCAAACAAGTAATAGCCAAATATTACTCGAATATGATTCCTAAATAATGTTTAGTATAAATTTCCCAACATTTCATCAGTTTGACACCTGTAGATCATTTTGCTATACGTTGCATGTGTTGGCAGTAGTTACGAGATATCTGGATTTTTTTTATATTGGTGAGGTGCGTCCATTCATCTTATCAGGCTAGACGTTTCAACTACAATGAAACCGCCATAAAACCTCAATGAAACTGGGTTCAAATAGTTTTGTTTTTGCTTACTCGTTTCTCTACATTGGCTATAACTTCACATATGCCACACAAGAAAAAAATAAAAAGAGAAAAAAGAAAAGGTAGCATGCAACATAACTTTAATTTGCAATTAAGTTTCTAATGACGTGATATTTGTGTTCAGACATATATTTGTAACAGGTTGAGATCAGTTTGACTTCCTCAACATTAGTTGATCCAAATAAACAATCACAGCCTGGCTGAGATTTTCTCTAACATGCAGAACTCTATATTCTAACACTTTGAACCACAATATATTAGCTGCTCCTATACCAAGAGAGAAGTAAGAGAAATTATCATGCTAGTCTTGCTTGCAAATGAAGAAAGCTATGTAAGGAAATATGTCTTGACTTTGCATCAAACATTCATTACCAGGTTCAGATGATGGAGATGAGTCACCAAGAGAGAAGTAAGAGAAATTATCATGCTAATCTTGCTTGCAAATGCAGAAAGCTATGTAAGGAAATATGTCTTGACTTTGCATCAAACATTCATTACCAGGTTCAGATGATGGACATGAGTCAGAACTTTCAGTTCGGCAAGAAATTCTCTTGTCGCTTGCATGTCCATTTTCTTAATTGCAGCTTTCTGCATAGGAAGTAAAAATTTAAGATCAGCTTCTTCAGGCATAAACCATATCATAGACATGAAAATGATTCTAAAAAGATTAATAGTCGGGAAGGACGGTAATGTCTGTGGAGGTAAGGGGAAGGCCAGAAATAAGACTCAAACTTGGTACAGATCCTTAGGAAAAGAAAGCTATCTTAAACTGTATTTACTGTTACACCCAACAGGCGGTTAGATGACATATAAGATCCCAATAGTTAGTTAGATGACAGATCAGAAGCAAGGTTAATACCGGAAATCTTTAGATCACAGAGCCAATGGAGAAATGGGATTTCAACAAATGAAGTAGCAGTAAACGACACAGAAAAAGTGCTTTCATACACCCCAGAAGCCTTTATAGAGCATGGAAAAGCTAATCAAGAGTGGAGAAACTTCACTCTTCATACATATCATTATTTACACACAGTATAAAATAAGTAGGATTTGCATTGTTATGACGGCTTGAAAGTCACAGATCTCCTTTCATACTAAAACAATTGTCAAGTCAGGCTGAAATTACAGCAGTTTCTTTATAACTAAAAGCTCACCTTCAATTTCAAGCTGATCAACTAAGAAACTAACATGGTACGTAACCTAGCTAAAGTTTTGGACGCGGTATCAAATAATAGGCAGTTATGCATGGCCCGATTCTCGAAGGACTAACAATGACAAATGTGTTTTAAACCCAATTTGGTTATTCATTGTTCACCCTGGCATACACTTCATCTTCATCAATCTGTTCCGCTTAAAGAACAGCCATAATAGAAAAAGGACACCATGGGGTAGAGAGAGTTGTAGATCATATTTTTTCTGAGAGTAAGTTCTGTAAAAATGCTATGACAAACCTCGCCTCTAAGCTCTGCATAGTAAACAGCACCAAAGCCACCTTCACCAATCTTATTAGCTAGACTGAAGTCATCTGTTGCTGTTGCAAGCTCTTCATATGAGAACTCAACAGATTTATCAACAGTTATGCCTGTAAGGCCTGGAGCACCTTCAGCGATTCCTGCAGATTCCGTTGCTTTTGATGTACTCCCACCATTAGCTGAATCCAACGCAAAAAAGGATTAACGAACTCATACAATCAGAATCAGCAAAGAGGAAGTGCAAAGGAGAGCAAAACGCACATGTTACAGTGAAGTAAAAATATTTTTGTTACTACAAGCACCACTCGAATTCTGAGAAGTAAGATTTGTTCTTCATACTAAGAAGACAACGTAGCACAAAACAAAACATTTACACCATACCAACTAAAGGAAATCAAATTGAGCGCAGATTTCCGGTCCAATGGAGAATTAATAAAATTAAACAAATACATAGGTCATCACATGAAAGCACAGATTTCAAGTCCAATGAAAGCACGTTGTGCCTACAATTACTGATCTCCTCCCATATTAAATTTTTATAAATGTGTGAGTGTGAGAGAGAGCGAGCGAGAGACAGACAGAGAGAGAGAGAGAACCACTTGATAAATGCTGGAGGTCATGATCCGATTGCCTTGAGAGCAATGATATTTTCCGGGCCTTCCTCTTTCTGTAAGTTACAAGACATAAGACACCTGTAAGGAGCAATACCGCCACTACTGCAACAGATATACCAGCAACAGCTCCACCAGACAATCCTGATTATAACAGTACTGTGAGCTTAACTGAAACTAAAGTAGCATTGTCGATTTTCAATAATCTCCAGTAGGTGAAGACAAAGAAATTCAATTCTGATCCTATATGATAAGGAAACCACCTGCACTGCAAAACGGGGCAATAGCATATAGAGAATGGTGTTAGAAGTTAAAACAAATGTTCAAGGACACATCAAAGAATTTGAATGCAATGTAGGTATGACAGGGAAAAAAAAAAAAGGAAAAAGACAAAACCACTTATACCTGGAGGTCAGAGGCCGATAGCTTCCACTTTGATCTGCATAACATAGAAATTTGTTTTAGATGGTAGCATAATTTCTCACCATAAACTTTAAGAACAATTTAGAGGAAATAGTATTTTATCCTCTAGTCTAATACATTAGCATTCTAACTAGTTTAAGGCAAAGGAAAATTATAAAGACATAGCAGATTGATTGGGGGAGCAGTCAACATACTGGATCATCAGCACTTTAGGATCATCACACAGAATGGATCATGGTTTCACTTTTTATCTCATGAATCCACTAGCCATAGCAGGAGTTACACAGGCTTCATTCTCCCAAAACATATATAATGAAGCCAGAGGCAACTTTTAAAACTGCAAAGGAACTATTTACTCTCTTCAATTTAACAAAATTTTGTTTGCATTACTGGCGGTTATAGGCAAACTGCTTAAGCTTTCATGGAAAAAAGTCGAAATTACATGTAGAAGTGGTTTAATATTAAAGAGAATGAAACGAAACTACATGTAGAAGTGGTTTTATATTAAAGATAATGAAATAGAAGCCAGAGACAATATGGAAGGAAAGTAGAAACAGCCCCAGAAACAATCAGTTACAAATGAACCTAGAAAGTAGCTCATTAAGTCATTCTACAAAGCACCAACCATCTTTTATGAATGGAATATATGACCTGAAACTACTTCCTGCTTTAAGGCAGGGGAAAATAGATAACTCTTCAATCCTCAATAGGTACATGCATAAATCAGTCTCAATTGACACACAAGAAAACTACTCTAGTAATATCTGGGAAAACTAGAATGTACTTTGAGGGGGGAAAAACCATAAATTTGCACTTGAGAAACTAGTCTAAATGTCTTTTCTGCTCTACTGATAACTGAATAAAAAAAATTCAGCATCTTTTATGAATGTGTCATCATTGATTCAACCACAGATTCCAGTCTTTAACAGACGAAAGCAGCGCAACTGAACTAAACAAACCAATTGTCGATGATTCGCCACCATCTCAAATTTCAAATTTAAGTTTCCTGCCTAAATTATCCTATGCACCCCTCAAACAACAATCTAGCTTTCAAATTCAGAATGGTTTGTCCAGAACTTTGCTTCTTCTTAGATACTATGAGCACACCATCAAATGATATTCCTAGGGGAAAAAAGAAAAAAAAAAAAATCGGCACTCAAACAAAAGGAAACATGAAGTTGTTTGCATTTCTCCATCCACCAGAAGAGACAAACGTTTAGTTTCTAGAATCTAGCATACAGAGCCATCAAAGGACTAATCCTAGTTTCCTTTCATAGTAAATCAAAACAATTACAAACTAAAAATCATAATAAGAACTCACCTCTTCCAGGAACGAACAGCAGGCCTCTCCCAGAACTAAAATTGGCATTGGGATTATAACTCCTGATCAAACTGGAACTTAAATTATTGGCAGCAGCAACAGACTCATAACTATCCCCAGGCCCCACGGGCCAAGTAATAAACAAACCATAATCTTTGCTCACAGCTTTATCCCCACAAGAACAATTAACAGTCACATTCAAGAACCCAGTGTCGGGAATATTAGTAGCAGGGTAACTATTAAATCTCTGCAACCAAGGAGTGGTAGTCAAGTTTGCATAGTTGGTTGATGCTACAGGATCATAAGTATCCCCTGGAGAAATAGTGTAATTGAAAACATGGGCCAAAAATTCCCCAGGGTTCAAACAGTCACACCTAAAAGGGATGTTGATTTCGGTGCCAGCGAAGACTGTGTCCTGGTCAGGAAGTGTGGAAGGATTCCAGCTCAAAAGTTGGGGAATTGGGACAGCAAAATACTGGGAAATTAGGGTCAAATTTAATCCTTGTGAAACGTTGTATCTAGCTAAAGCCAAGTCGCAGCCTTTGCTACAGCTTGAATTCACCTGAGAAGCTTGAAGAATGAAGACTGAGACGGCGATGAAAAGAGCTGAAGGGATGTCTAATTTCGTGGATTTGAAGCAGAAAACCATGGTGGAAATGGGTTTTGGAGGAGGAGGACTGGAATCATGAGAGGGGATCAAAGGAAGATGAAGAAATTGGAAATGGTAGGAATGGATGAAGGAAAGGAGAATGATGAGTTTGAAAAGTTCAATAATGTTACGGAAAGTTGACTGGGTTTTGGCTGGCTTTTTTTTGTTTAAATAATTAATAAATACTACTTTGACAGAATTGACTATGTTCAAACTCATCAAATGAGCTGTTAGTTTCGTTTGTTTGGTCATTTGGTGGATTTATAATTTTATAATTTTTTTTTCTTTTTATCATTGATACATCTTGGAGTCATCATATATATGAAGTCCTCAGATAGAAACAACAAATTATCTACACCATATACCCTGAAAATATTGATACAAAATGGTATAAATTTTCAATAGGCAACATCTTAGGAAGAAATTTGAAAGAAAATTGTGACCAGGACTCCACACCCACACGTATTTGATTAGTCTTCATCAATCTTGCAAAACTAAGAGAAGAGGAGAACTGAAGGATTCTAACTTTTGAAAATGTACCCATTTTTTTATCCGCCGCCATTACCTCTTTCACTTTTGATACTGTTTATAGAGATGAAAAGTTTGAGTTGACGAATTTGTTTGGTGGTTAATGAATCTACATGAAGGAGGCCGAGACTTAAATAACAATCACATTCTGGAGGTGGAAATTCCCAACCAATTCCAACACATACGTGAGAACAAGAAGTTACCCTATCACAAGAATAGCCCAAAGATGTTCTATCACTGTTCAATTTATTTGAATCAACCACTTGAACACTCCAAACAAATTAATTCATAAGGAAAGATTAATTGAGATTGGAGGCCTAAACCTTAAAATATAATTGGGACAGTTGACCCAAATGCCGCGGATCGTACAGCCAGACAAATGAATAGGGTAAGATTATAATTTTACCAGGAAAATTATCACAAAATTAGGGAGGCATAATATTTTTCAGTATAATGGGTGTGTTACTGCACTAAAAAAAGAGGATACACTTACTGTATAGAATAATTTTTCTAGATCATCCCGAGATCAAACTCCTCAGACCTATGTTTTTCCCAGGATCATAGGTATGTGTACTTTGCCAAATGTACAAGCAAATGATCACATCAGCAAGAAAACAAATTAAAAAAAAAAAAAAAAACCGTATATTGCTCCCAAGAGATTTTCCCCAGGATTAACCGTATATTGCCCCAGGATCATACATTGGTGATTTGAACTTGAATGAATTCACAACACCGTGAGGTCAGAAAATGGTTGATGGCAAATGAAAAGATCGAAAGAGTTAGGGTTATCTTGAGCTTTTCATCAACTTGCGACACATGGTAGATTAATATGTAGTTTACATACACTATTTATGTCACCACACACACCTAGAATATTTAGATTTAAATACAAATATGTTATATTATATGATTCGGAATCGTGACTTACGCTAAAATATATAACAAAAACAAGTATTTTGATATTTAAATATCCGAGAACATTAAAATTCTTCTCATCGAGATAACAATTTTTGCACCAAATTAAACTCAGAAAACTTTTTTTACTTGTACAGGAACACAAACTTCACCCACCCCATATAAAGTTGAAGACATCGCAAATTCGCAATACCATCGATATAGTTCCACTTCTCCAAAGTCAAAGTCATCATTTCCCCATTCAATAATTTTCTGGCGATCCCACCACCACTTCCAACCGTCATTTTGTACATATAATTCCTGACTTCATTAGATAACAATAAAATTGCTGAAATTATGCAAATGTTTCTCAGTGGTTATCCTGTAGTACAACTAACCGTGTTGAAGGCATATATTTCTACTTCTATCTATAATGATAATTAGGGGTTGATACATCAAAATTAAGCTAGCTAGCACAAGGGGTTTTTCTTATTGAAATTTTAGAATTTATTGTGCGCTTCGTATGTAATTTGAGGTCTATGATCCCCGCCCCCCCTTGTATTTTGAGCTTTTTTTGTCCAATTTTTTAAATTGTTCTAATACACATAACAATTTCATAAAAGTCAAAATTAATTTGATTAAAAGGACTAAATATATTCATAACTCAAATAGAGATAAATTTCTGTTTTGAGTTAGAAACGAACTAAACTAGGCCGTGAGTAAAATGTTTTGCATAATTAATGATTGTACTTTGATTGAGTAGATAAAAATTAAAACGTTGTAGATTTGACTATTTGTGATAGAGGGAGTATTATAAATGAATATAATTGTTATATTTAAATTTTATTTTCATGTGTATGACAACAATCCTAATTAACTTTTTCTTTTAATCGTTGATGTTCTAAAAATGTCGACGACTTAGTATATGTTTACTTGTTCCGAAAGATGACACCATAATTTTTTACTGTTTATATGAGCATTTTAAATTAATTATTGGAGAAGTAAAAGCAAATTCCCAAATGATATCCACCCTTTGCTTACTATGGTCATCATTCATCAAACTTCAGAGTAATGATAGAACGGAAAAGAAATAATTATTATAAAATGCGATGAGTTATAATAAAATTATGCTAAATTACAATATATATATATATATGATAACAGAATATAGAATATTGATATGTCGATATATACAAGAAAACATTATATACTTTTTTTCAGCGACTGCATCATCCTTATACTTAAATAAAAGGCATAGTAGGCAAAAAATAATGCCCAAGAAATATTCAAGGACAACCGTCAAATCGATCTCGTTCGCCAGATGGAGTTGATATGACGTCAGTGACTTCAGCGGGGCAAAATTGGAAGTTCAGAAAGTTTATCCCTTCAGTTAAAAATAGCACCTGTTTTTGGGAAAAATTCCAGGCCAAAAAAACGACGTCGTCCATCCCTCCCCTCTCCCCCAACTATAAATTCGAACGATGGCTGCATAATAGACTTCAACTCCCAACGCTCCTTCTCAAACCACCCTACCATTGAATCGGCCATTCATCAACAGTCATTGAATCGCGCATAGGGTCTTGTAAATAATCCAATTATTACCATGAATAAAGACACTTGTCTGCTGACCAATCGATTCTTCTACTTATGAATTGAGGTCCATTGTCGCTGTTCGCTCCTGATTTGAGGAATTGGATGTCTATTAGGTTTTCTTCTTGCAATTGTTTTGGATTAGGAAATTCAAGATTAGCAATTTAAGCCTCCTTTGGACAAACAACATCTTTATTTCTTCAGGAATTGATGTTGTTAATTTTTCTCCAATTCCTTCTCTTCAGGCTGCAAACGATGAAGTTTCGTCGATTCAATTTCGGTCACCAAATTTCTTCCTACAAGATAGCCAATCTCTTTACTGGTGGCCCACTGCACCTTTTCTCCTCCAAGCTTCCAAGTTTCTTTTCCGATCGAATCACATAAAAGCTTCCAGGGTCTTTCTCGGCCGATTCAGGTATGATTTTTATTTTTAATTATGGTCGAGCTTCTTGAAATTAAGTGGATTCAAATGGGTGTTTATTCTTATTTTTTTACTGGCTCTGTTTATTCATTATTTGTAGAGGATTTAATATTTATCAGTTTAATTTAGCAATATTGGTCAGTTTATTGGCTCTATTTATTATTTTTTTTTTTTTGATATTGAGAATCTGCCTATAGTTAGAACTTCCTACGTCAAGGTTTGTTTAATTTAAATTTAGTTTTCTTTCCTTACCACTGAGTTGTCATCTTCGACGAGAATCTCTTTGTGATTATGATTATCTTGTTGTTCAGTACCGTACTTAGTCGTTAGTCTTTTGCCTCTCGTGTGGCTGTTTTATAGCTATTTTCACCTTATAATGATAAATAGCTCAACTGGTATAGTGAGGGAGTAAATCATATGTCTATTCTTTTGTTCCTTGACCTTCCATTTTTCAATTTTTTTTTTGTGCATTCTTTGTGTATTTTGATAAAATGCATCGGCATGTGAATGGATCAACTTGAACAACCAGAACCTTCAAGGAGTTTGTATTTTAGCAGAGCTGGATTGTGTAAAGTAACATATTGTAAGTGAAAACTGTACTCCTCTATCTAAGTAATTACTGGCTGCTAGAAATTCTCCTAAGTTGTGCCTCTTTGGTTGTTGCAGGCAACAACCATGACCCTTTTGTAAGAGTCACAACCACTCTTTGTTTTTTAGGTTAGTATTTTTTAAAAGTTCAACAGTTGAGTAATATCTTCACCTATGGTCGCAAGTATTAAACTTTGAAACTGCCGGGGATCCGAGTAGGTTGCTGCCCCTGTCTTTGTCAGTGGAGGTAAAAGATTTTGAAGTGGTGTTGGGTTTTGATCGATTACCAGAAGTGGTGTTGGTATTGGGTAGCTGTTGGTTTTGGCCCCGAGGTAATTTTTAAGGGGTTAGGATTAGGAAATTTTATGCGTATGAAAGAGGATTAGAAATATGATAACCTATTCCCTCAATTGTATTAGGATTAGGAAACCCTTTCGTTTATAAATACATCACCAAAAAGAATAATCTGATTTAGGAGAGACTTACCTCTTGTTTTGACCTTTTTTGCAAAGGGTTTTCAATATTTTTGTTTATAAAGTCTCATCATGATTTCTACTGGAAATCCTTTTTCTACTTGTAGAGCTCGAGTGGTGTCTGATAAGAAATTTCTGAACATTAGTGTTGGTTCCTTGCGTCACGAACAGTTTTTCTTCACCACGAATTCGGGTGGTCTGATGCGAAACGGGCTATTTTCGTAGATGGACATGGGACGGAACGGTCTAGAGCCTTGTGGAATTCTCCGGTCAAATCTTGAAGACTCTGGAATTTTCTAGAGAGGCCCGAAACTCTCTAGAAACGAGTGGAACCGTGTGGAAGCTACCCGAGTTTGCTAGAACCGTGTGGAAGATTCTAGAGATTTGTAGATATTTTGAACTTAGAATATTTTATTGTAGGAATTCTCTAGAATTCTATTATTTTATTATGTACATAGAATTCTCTAGAATTCTTTAGGACTTGGGGGTTTGCCTATAAATACCCC